CGAAGAACTAAACTTCTTGAAGTTTAAAACTCGAACTCTCGGTACCTTGCGCGTGTTTACTTGAACATTCTGGATATTTTGCTAATTTATATAAGTAGGCGCTGCAAGATGCGATCGAGGTTTAAATTATTAGTGTTTTTAGTTTTAATTGTGTAAAGTAAATTAAAGTGTTAATTTAGGTAATTTTATCGGCAATTTTTATTGTCACGAACCTCAAGCTCGTAACAATACTAATTGGGGTGTCTGAGGGTGTGCGTTAATTACGTTACATATAGTATATATATATATATATATATATATATACAGCTGTGGCAGCTCAGATGGTTAGCGCTCGCTGTAAATTTCACAATACGCGAGCAAACCGGGTTCGATCCTCGCCAGCACTAATGAAATTGTTAATGGCAATTTTAAGTGCTGATTTACACGTGCTCGGCGTTGAAGGAAAACATCGTGAAGAAATCTGCATGTCTGAGAAATAAGAAAAAAATAATATTTCGAAGACATGTGAAGTTCGCGAACACGCATTGGGACAGCACGGCGGACTATTCCTTGCCCTAAAACGCTCTCAGAAATGAAAGGAGGCCCAGTGCCCAGCAGTAGCACTTATATAGGCTGTGACTTTAACTTTAAACTTTTTTTGGGTGACAAACAAGCACACTGTTCACTTGAAAGTAAGCGAATGATGTTGCCCATAGGCAGCTTTTTATCCTCGATTGAAAACCAATATGAAGATATGTTGTCACCCCTTCGGACTAGTATGAAATGCCTCTTTACTAGTAAAAAAGATTTCCGGTTCTCGTCATTCACATTTTTTTTGCGCCCGAAGCAAATATGGGCAACCCTCCGGAAAGCGGGGGAGGGAGGTTGGGAATGCTCATAGCATACCACGCAGCCGGCTGCGTGTTTATGTGGTGACTTTTACCCACTAAACCCAACCTTTTAGGAATTGGCTTAACGATCTGACTAGAGATCTCTAAGCCGTATACGAACGCGACCCTCCTTGGCAGAAAGGAGGGCGCAGTCATTCACACAAACATAGCTACAATATACACACATTTTATGCTGGTATTAAGTGCGAGTGTGTTCTTTCCTCGTACGTGTGGACCGTTCACGCTGGTGTCGTCATACGCTATAGCTTGGCCCTACTACTTATAATTATGTTTGGTAGGTCGAGAACAAATAATAAATCCAAACCTGTGCTATCCACTGCGAGACTTCAAGACTACAGTGTCTTGAATTCTCGCAATGGCTCGTTCATCGTATTCGGCCCAAAGATACCTGTATTACTATGTACCAGGACCTCAAACTCCTCATTAAAATAGCAATAATGAGTAAGGTACTTCAAATTTTTCAGTATTTTATTCACAGAATTTTGAAAACGAAATCAATTTACAAAACAATCTTTTAAGAATATTATAATCGATCCCTAATGTAAACGATTTTTGGTTAAATCATATTGAGCAGATTCCAAATTCTCTGTATTTGAGTGAATATACTCAAACTTTGCCTTTGACTTTGATAAGCATCGACCCGACATAGAGTATCAGAAAGGAGCGATTGCATCACAGTAGCATTCACTTCTAATGTACAAAGGTACAAAGCTACTAGATATTGCAAAGCGAAACTGATAACCATAAAATATGTTTACAGAAATTGTTGCAAGTTTTAATACTAGGAACTTTAATGTTCTAATCAGCTTTTATATGATAATTGTTTTATGGTTTTAAATAAATTATGAATTTCTGTTCTAAACACACGGCAGTATGTCGGTAAGTTCGAAAAAGAAAAGGTACAACTTATATTCACATTACCAATTTCGGGTTGTGTCTATCCCCAACTAGATATGTAATTTTGCATACCTAATAATAAATGTAAGTTATGGTGACCAATTTCAACGCAGACTATCCTTCTGTGTAGTATAATATAAAGTTCGTGTTTCACTCTCATAGTCCGATGGAACGGCAGCCCTACACAAGTAGAGTGAAATCAACACCAACAGCGTTAGATGCTTGAAAAGCCAATAACTTATTTTAACCTAACCTGGGATTAAAAGCAGACGCCATTAAGATCATTGAATCAAGGGGGTATGTCTAATAATAATTTTTACGTGGTAGAGCCTTGCTGCAGCTATATTAATTGTCCTATATTTGTAGCACGAATGGGTCGGCTCGACCGGTGAACCACCACCACTCCACACGCGAGACCACGCTCTCACAGAATACCAGCGTCAAATAGCAGCTCAATGCTGCTGTGTTTTTATGGTGAGTGTAGAGAACCGGAGACCCTTTTTACTGGAAAAGAGGCAATCCATCTTAGTCCTCAGGACTGACAACGCGAATGCATTTTGATTAGAAAGGATAGATTTAGATGTCTATGGGCCACAGCAACCACTTACCATCAGGTGGACTATGCTCACTTATCACCCTTTTCCTATAAAAAAGACCCCCTCATAATCATTGAAGACCTTCACAAGTTCATTGCTGAACATAGATCCCCAAGGAATATACCAAAGCATTGTTTTACACCTCTCTGCAATTGGATAGGTTTCTGTCGATATACCGACAGTCAACTTGGAATCGCTGAAGGAACTGCAGCACCGCCCAAATTTCGACGAAATCAAAGGCTTTCTCATAGTCCACATATGCAAGACAAAGTGGCAAATTGTACTCTTCGGTCTTCCGTACAATTTGCCGAAGGATATGTATGTGATCTATGGTGCTAAAGCGTTTTCGGAAACTGTCTTGTTCGGGAGGCTGGAAGTCGGCGAGTTTGCATGCAAGACCGCTCGTAATGACTTTCAAATTAGCACCTAAACGCGGCTCAGAAGAAGTTGTTGTCTTTCTTGAAGGACAAGACCACCACACTTCTGCTCCGCGCCTCCGAAGTAGTGCCACGAAGGAGAACGGAATTAAAGCGCTTCTGAAGGACTTCAATTGTTGATTTTCCAACTGCTTTCAAAAGCTTCGCTATAATTCCATCCTTGTTCGGGGACATGCCGTTTTTAAGGTGCTGGAAAGCCATTCTAATCTCGCTTAGACTGACGTCCGAAATATCATCGGACTATAACGATTTTTTCACATTTCTCTTGATTAACATTTGCAATGGGATAGACGATTCTCTGAAATCACCACTACTTTGACTGGTAGTTGGTCATTGATAATGTTTTGTTAAGCGCCAAATGAGAGCTGCGGTAGCTCAGATGGTTAGCGCTCGCTGTAAACAATACGCGAGTAAACCGGGTTTGAGCCCCGCCGGCACGAATGCAATTGTTAATTGCAATTTTAAGTGCTGATTTACCACGTGCTCGACGTTGAAGGAAAACATCGTGAGGCAACCAGCATGTCTGAGGAATAGAAAAAAATATTTTCGAAGATATGTGAAGTTCACCAACACGCACTGGGGCTGCGCGGCGGACACTTTCTTGCCCTAAAACCCTCTCAGAATTGGGGCGAGGCCTGTGCCCAGTAGTGGGACGTATACAGGCTGGAAGTTTACTTTACTTAGTGTCGGATAGACTTTCTCTTGGATCGTAACTCACACTTGCGTGCTCCAACGATGACGTGTACCGCTGTCCATAGAACCTCTCAATCTCATTTAAAAAGGACCGTAGTTTGTGATAATCAAAATGGTAGGCCCATTTTCAACACTTATGATAGGCTATACTTATAGTCAATGATAGTGTGTGATATTTTGTGAACCAAAGATTTCTTTTATTAAAATCTATCTAGTCTTTTTTGGGAAAAAGTACGGTAAACATAATGCTAAAAACATGAAGTAGAAATAGGTAATATCTTTTGCATTCCAATTTTAGCTTTTCCGTTCTTTTACATCAGCATATTTCACAGAACGAATAATTTGGTTCCATTGATTGAGGGAATAATTTGCGGACGAGTGCTGAAAAACTCTAGCAGTTCCCCTACTCTAATAATTACATAACCTTTAAAGCTGTCAAATAGATTATATCTTCATTGAGCATAACTTTATACATATGATAAATATTTCTGAATCTAAAATCATCTATTTTAAAGCGTAAATAACATGTATTTTAATTCATATAACAGATTCTAATCCAAGCTATTGTAAATATTTTAAAAAAAATCTAAAATTAATTAATTGCTGTTTCAATAAAACGATAAGGCAATTTCCTTCAATAAAAAATACTCAAACAACCTGAAATGATCAAAGAAAGAGCAATTTTATATACGTGGGGTAGAGCCACGCTACAGCTATATCATAGTTGTAACACGAATGGGTCGGCTCGACCGGGGAAAGACGGAGAAGGAGGATTCCTAATCGAGAATTAATGTAGATGTCTATGGGTCACAGCAACCATTTACCATAAGGTAGACTCTGTATATATATATATATATATATATATATATATATATATATATATATATATATATATATAACTCAGATAGTTCCAGAAACGTCTACTGTAGAAACATCTGAAGTATTCGAGTACATACCGGTCCCGACTATTAGGTGTCTATAGTTCTAGAAAATTCTGGCATGTGATTTTCTAGAAGGATCTTGACTCTCCTAGTCTGCTACTCGATACTAGAAGGCGCTAGTGGTAACTGGCGTCGCCATGTACCAGGTATTAATTGTGGCGAGCAACAGTAGTTTTTTCAGTTTTCAAAATGTAAATACAATTGATATTATAAACAGTAACCATAGTCGTTCACTTTGATACTCAGAGAATGTTAAATGCGTGGTGATTTAGAAGTCAAACTACTAATTAAATTTTCTCTCCGTTTTACCTCCAACTGATGCCTGATTTACGATTACAAATACGCTTATAGCAGTTTTTTTAGTTGCGAAAATAAGTCATCGTATTGTTGAGACTCGTAGTGATGAGAACTCATAAAGTGTATTTGATATAACAAACATAATTTTATGACTAAGCAATCTTAATCACTACCTTCTGAAGATGACAATAACGACGATGAATAGTTGGTGAAATATGATTTTTTATCTAAAAGTAAAATTTGTTTTAGATCGTCGAAGAAGATCTGGATCATTTGACGAAGCAGCCGAAGACAGCAGCGATAACGGAGGGAGCACGCCAAAGAAAAAGACTGCTATTGAAGAACAGTGGGAGAGATCAGGTGGATTCGAATTGACCTCAGTAGAACAGGAAACCTACGAAAAGTACTTCTATGGCACAGAGCATTGGAATTATTTTACCAATGATGAAGATCTTGGTCCTGTAATATTATCTATAAAACAAGAAACTTTGAACTCTCGCGATCAGTTCAGGTAAGTTTAGCTCTAAGTTGGACTGTTCCTGTTACCGTGTAGTGACCTTGTAAGTATATCCACTACCCCATATCATCTCGTGGGTATCATAAGAGTAAATCGAGAGAGAATCGTAGAGAGTAATCAGGTGGATTGTGTGCTCGTTTGACGCCCTTATTCTATAATTAAACACTAACTTTCTAGTGTAAAAATTAAAAAAAATATCATATGTTTTAATATTTTATAGAATTTTTCATTCAGCACCAAAAACCACTTTACCAATTTTGCTCAAAATTTAATGAGGTCTAAGTTACATAATTATTCGTTAAATGAAACTGGTCCCACGTCATAATCTGAACATACATACATACGTATGTAATACGTACAGCTATCTATTTTGAAATTTATTGATTTAAGGATAACTAGTAGAGGATAAAGCTTCTTAATATTCGTCAATATCAATGTACAGAATGTAAAGAATTTCATCGCGTTATACGAAATAAACGTGAACGGAATTCAATTAAGTAGCGATACTCAAATACAGCTGCTACGAATTCCGTTATTAAAATAACTATATTAATGTCACTCACACTTAAAATTTCAGCTATTTCGATAATATTCCCGCCTGGTTATATTTGGGATATTCGATATAATTGCTATACTTGGCGGCTGAGTTAATGGAGCCAGGAACAATTATGTAATTAAAGTACAGTTTCATAATATATTCGTACATAACATCGAATTCTAAGACGAATGTCATGATTATATATGAATTTCGACATTTTATTGACTTTCAGTATTTTACAAAAGTTGTAACCTTGTGTTGAAATAAGAATACATCAAAGGTCGGCCTAGTAAATTAAGTAAAAAGTAAGAGTATTCCTTCTTCAAAAGAAAATTATTAATGTATTTTCACGCTACGATTTTCACTTAACTCTTTTGTGAAAAAATTGTCATTAAATGTTTGTAGATAGAGACGACAAACTTGGTAGTCTCGCTTTCCTCGTGCGCCCATAAACTTCAAAAATTCAATTAGCATAATGTAATGTAGTCATAAAGTTTACTTCAGGGTCTTCACTCAATATCACCCTGAAAGGCGTTGTTCATTTCCTCTATTTTTTTCGATTTATATTTGATAAGAAACGTACTATTAGGAATTTAGTTGTTACGTGGGACATTCATTAAGTTTTGAGATATACAAAAAGTATTCTAGATTTATGGATATATATTATATATTATAGATAGATTGTTATTATTTATTTTACGTCTTTTCAAAATATTCTCCATCAAGCTCTATATAAAGTTCCATTCCCATAAACCAACTCTGAAAACACTTTTGCCAGTCTTGATCTGACAGGTCGGAAATCGCTTCTTCGTAGGCGGCCACGACTTCTACTGCGCTTGAAAATAACTTGTCCTTTATTTTTTCTTTGATTATTGGGAACAAAAAGAAATCACAAGTAGCTAAGTCAGGGCCGTAGTGTGGGAGACTTAGAGTTTCAACACTAGATTCCTCAATAAAGGTTTTTGTTCTAAGGGAGGTATATAAAGAGGCATTATCGTAATGCAGCGTGATTTTCCGAAGCCCGGTCTTGGGTCTTCTCCCCCGCACAGCTTGAAAACCTTTGGGTAATTCAACTGTAGTATAATATTCAGAGTTGACTGACCTACAATTTTCCACTATAGACGTCGACAAATGTCCGCTCCGCAAAAAAAAAACTAGTCACCATTTGTTTGCCGACGTTGCGAGGTCTTTGCAGTTTTGTCGGTATATGTCCTTGTGAGTAGACCCATACCGATGATTTCCTTTTATTTTCCGGATCATAATGATAGATCCATGTCTCGTCACCAGTAACGATTTCTGAAACACGCCTAGATGCCCCGTTTTCAAAAAGTAGACGCATTTCATGGCACCAATCCACACGAGTCTGTTTTTCGCTTTCGGAGAGCAAACGAGGGATCCATCGACAACAAAGCTTCCTCACTCCAAGATGTTGATGTAGGATGGTATGAATACTCACCGAACTAATGCCTACAATCTTTTCAGTGTGCGTACATGTGGTTCGTGGGTTTTCTCACACCAACATTTCAGTACTCAATACATTTTATGCTGTTTGCGGGGTCCCGGTTCTTTGGTCATTTTTAATGTTAATTTTACCCATTTAGAATTCCGGAAACCACCTGAAATTGTTGTGCGTGATGGAGCTTAGTCCCCTAATGCTGATTTTAGCCGTTATAAACTTAATTGTTTCGTTAAACCAAATTAAAATCGTAATGGATCACAGCGCGCAAATGTTCACGGTTAAGATCCATCGTTTTAAATTAAAAGCGCGGAAAGCGTTGCAGGAAAATTAATAGAACTTTGTTTTTTTTTTTTAATATTGAGTAATTGGCTTATAGAGTTATATTTTTAAATAAATTTGCTCTTTAGAAACATATAACACGGGTGCGTTCCGTTCTCAAATTTCGAGCATCTCAAAACTTATTGAGTGACCTACGTAATTTAAAGTCGTTTTCAACACATTTAATAACCTTTTTATACTTCTTTTATATGTCACACAAAATTGGATTAGCAAAGGCCTAAGAACAAGCTGTAAAACTAAACGGTCACTAAGGTATAAATATTATAAAAATAAAACAGCAATCAATAAAATCAAATATATAAATTACTCGAAAGTATTAAAAAAATATATTAATACCTCCAAAAGGAATTCACACATAAAATATATATAAAAATGTAAAAACAAATGCAAAGCGACATGGAATGTAATAAAAAAGATTGGTGGTTTAAAATGTGACAATGTTATAAGTGAAATAAGTTTAAACAAAAAAACAATTGACAAATCCTTTTGACATAGCCTCAGCTTTTAATGAACATTTTATTGAATTGACAAATACAAAAAACCTGACGACAAAAAACAACTGCTAAAAGCAAACTTATACCAAACACGATTTTTCTTCTTCCGACTTCAAAAGAAGAAGTAAAAAAAGAAATTATGGGTTTGAACAACACCAACTCAGAAGGCTTTGATGGAATCAATACAAGAATAATTAAAATGTGTATTGATGAACTAGTGCCTGTATTGACGTATTTAATTAATCTATCATTTTCATCTGGTACTTTTTCGGTAGCATTAAAACAATCAGTCATCAATCATCAAATCAAAACCATTGTACAAAAAGGGTAAAAAAATTACGTCAACAATTATCGCCCAATTACTCTTATACCTATTCTATCGAAGGTGTTTGAGAAATGTATGCACATGAGAATACTCAATTATTGCAACACATACAACATCATTAGTAAGGATCAATTCGGTTTCCAAAAAGAAAAGTCGACAACTTTCGCAACATTTACTCTTGTACAAACAATACTCACAAAATTGAATGAAGGTTATCTAACAACAGGTCTATTTTTTGACTTGTTCAAGGCGTTTGATTTTGTAGACCACGACCTCTTATTAAATAAACTTGAAACGATTGGTATAGGAGGACCTACACTACAGTGGCTATCATCCTACTTGAAGAATCGGTGTCAGCACGTCACTGTTAACAAAATCATAAATAGCGAACTGGTGACATGTTCTTCTACCCTAAAAAAATAACTCGTGTGGTATCCCTCAGAGCAGTGTGTGTGCATTTCAATTATTAATGGATAATAGTTGTAGATATCTATGAACCGCAGCATCCAATTACCCCAGTGCCAGTTCCTTCCACTTGACCACATCCAGCGCAGAGTGGTTCGAACCGTCGACGTCCGAGTTCTTTCTGATTTTCTGCGTAGGGATGTTGCATCCCTTTGCATTTTCTATCGCATCTGCCACGGGGAGTGCTCTGAGGAATTTTTCGGATTAGTTCCAGCCACTTTCAAGAATTGTTAATTGCAATTTTAAGTGTAGGAAGTGGGAGTAGTGTAACTTTACTTTACTTTTCTTTCAAGAACGCACATTGAGTCAATATCCACGATATCATCATCTGAATGCTTGGCGGACCACCACTGTGCGTTTTACTTAGAGTTTTCTTCCTCGTACAACTTCTCTGTGGAATTGTTTACCACTGGCGATTTTTTCGGACTAATACGATTAATAGTCCAGTCATTTAAGCTTAAATTAGGTAAGAATCTCGGAATTTGAGATACCCAGCTGTAAGTCTGTAAATATTTGTATATTCACACCCTAAAAGTTGTCTCAAAACCTACATATGGTAGGGTGTACGCAACTATTAAATTTCAAGGTCAAAGGTCATATTGCGGTTTTTTGCGCTTTTTTTTGTAAATATCTCATTTCCTATGGATTTTTGCTAGTTGTATTTATTATCAATATTGTAGAATACAAAATTTTCTACAAATTTTGTTTAAAAATAATTTTTATACTGCGAACCGTTTCCGAGATAGAGGGCGGAGAGCGCGCGGTCACAGCATCACTTTAGGTCAACCGGTGCCTCCGGTCGAAAACGCGCTATATATAGTTGATGAACTATCGATAAATCAATGATTATAAATATTTGTCAATTTTTATTAACTATTATATTATATTTTATCATTTTTTACTAACCTATCCACTTTTTATTCACTATTAATTTATTTAACAACACTTACCTGCCCATTTCATTGCAGAATTGTTAATGAAAATATAGGAATTACATCAAAATTATAATCTAATTAATATTAATAACTTCTTACATGATGAAAAAAACATAAATTATGAATTAATTTTTTTATTAAAAATATCATTTAATACATTTATTTTTATTAAAAGTAAAAAAAAATGTAATAAAGGGTACAAAAACTACAATTTATAATTTTAATCATCTTCTTCCTCTTCATCGTCGCATTCCGGCTGCTGGTAAATTTCAAACTGTGTATGTTTCTTCATGCATTCTATATCTATTCAATAATACAGATAACCGTTATAGATCGTTAAGATATTGATTTACTTGTCATTTTAATTGGGCGTACACTGTCTTACGAACAAGAAATTTTCTTTAAAAAAGTTGGGAAAGGAAAAGATATACTCGACTAAAAGTTTTGATAATTATGCTCATTCCAAAACACATATTTTATTTTTGCACGCATTAATTTAAATTATTGATAGTAAATACAAATAGCAAAAACCCATAGGAAATGAGATATTTACAAAAAAGCACAAAAAACCGATTTTTGTGACCTTTGACCTTGAAATTTAATAGTTGCGTACACCCTACCATATGTAGGTTTTGAGACAACTTTTAGGGTGTCAATATACAAGTATTTACAGACTTACAGCTGGGTATCTCGAATTCCGAGGTGAACTTACTATAATGACTGGACTATAAAAGAACTTCAAGAAAAGAGCTTACACCTTTCTAAAAAACCAGCAACAAACCTGCAATTCTCCTGGTGTTGCGGTTGTTCATGGGCGCGTATACACTTACCATCAGATGAGCCGCATGCTCGTTTGCCACTTCTTCGACCTCGACACTCGTTGATCGTTTGTAATCGGCAAGGTAATCGCCACCATTATCGTGCAAGCATCCACACGATCGTCGGTGATCATTTATTAAGCGGCAAGCATTCAAGATGGACGTGGAGGTTATAGCTGCAGCTACCATTAATTTAATTTCATATACTCATATACAATCATTATATCAATTTAGTTGAACGAAAAGTTGCGAAAAAAAATTGAAGAAAAGAAGATGGTGGTGTTTGAGCATTCATCGTAATAGAACAAATTAAATATATTTAAGAAGTAAATATATTTAAGAACAACTTAATAGGTGATCCTGCTGCCCAGTTCTCACTATAAATATCTATTTCAGACATTCAATGGATAATCAGCTCTCTGAGCTATTGGCGGAACCTTCAGGGGAATTTGAAAACTTTCTTCGCATGTCGCTAAGCGATTTCAATTATTTAGTTGAAAAAATATCCCCATTGGTTGCAAAACAAGACACTACTTGGAGGGATTCTATACCAGTTAAAATCCGTCTTGCTATAACTTTGAGATTTTTGGCTACTGGGGATAGTTATAGAAGCTTGCATTATTCGTTTAAAGTTTCAAGCCAAATTATATCTCAAATAATTCCTGAAGTATGCCAAGCACTGATCAAAATATTGAAGAATATGATTAAGTTAAGTAAAACATAGATTAGATTTATCATTCATTTATTTTTAATTACTCAAACTCCTTGTTTACATTAGCATCCAAAAATGCTCTATATAAATATCCTGCGATTTAGCATTTTGTGTAGACATATTTCGATTGTCTGGAGATGAAGGGACAACCGAATAAACATGTTGAGAAATGTTTTGCTGATTCTGTATCCATTGGGGAGATTCATATGAAGGTGAAGTGTACATGCTCGCCGACGAGCAGGGCCGATGCTTGGCATTTTCTGAGATAAACGAACAATTACTTGAATTGCTTTGGACAGATGACGGATTGGTATCCATCAGCTGTTCAGAATACAATTTGTTTGAAGTAGAAGGGCGATTAGTGCTTATAATAATTTGTGATGGTGAGCTAACATAACGATGCCTAGTCAATGAGCGCTTTTTCTTTATTATTAAACCACCTATTTCATGTCTCAGTTCTAGTCTGTCGATGGCGCTAAATTCTCTCAGCGCTTTGGCCAGAAGCCTACCATAGAGATCACAATCGTCCTCTTCAACTTTCCTACCTCTATTCCTTTTGACTGTTAAGAGGTTAGAGTAAGTCAGCTCAAATTCTAATTTCGCCCCCACTTCCCCGCGCGTCGTATGCTATGTACCGAAATATTTGTAATCACTAATACTTTAAGTAGAAAGGTCGTTAGACACTTATTTCATTAGGTTTATCATATTTATGCCTGTTTCTTAAAGCCAAGCCAGCCGCTTCTTATTTTTATCATGGTTATTTCCCATTTTAATTTTACGTCGTACTGTTGCGTACAACAACACCCACAACTTCTCCCTTCAAAAGCCTAAGCGATACTAACGGAACGACAGGAATCAAGCTCAAGACGCCCATAGTTTAGGTAATTTCTTTTTACAGTGAAAATAATGGTATTTTAAAAAAAGTAAATAACATAAGCACTGCTTTATAGTTAGTTCAGTTAGTATGCAAAGTTTCATGATCTTATTTAAAGTATTTTATGAATAACAGCGGTTTATTGTTTATTTTGGAGGTAACTTTGGATTTTTTTTTCTATCGAGAAAATTTTACGAAATCGTGTTTTCGTCTAACATAATCACTAACATTAATCCTCAACTTTACCATATATTTATTTCAAAATTAATGCTGCAATATTTTCGGCATAACGAAGAATCTTGCTAAGCCATTTGACATTATATTTCCCCTTAATACGTCATTAAGGGTAGCTAGCGTTGATTTTATTTGTGCATTGATTTCTGCGAGTTCAGGCAGTTTTGTACTGCGCCGTTTTTGAACTGGGATAGACACCGTAGTACTTGATTCTTGCCCCTGTGTGCTGCATGTCCGGGATTTCATCAGCACCTTCTTCTTCTATCTAGAAAACAATAAAACATAGCATTAAAATACCTATTCTGTTTTTTTTTTTTGTTTTAGTTACCAAGTACTATACAAGAATGGCTTGACAAGGCAAACAAATTCAGATTACCTCACTGCTTAGGTGCTCTAGACGGAAAGCACATAAATATACTACCACCTGCTCACAGTGCATCTGACTATTTAATTACAAAGGTGGTTTCAGCATTGTTCTCCTAGCTTAAGTAGACGACGATTACTGTTTCATGTTTGCTGAAGTAGGCACCAAAGGACGGATCAGTGACGGCGGGGTATTTAATAGCAGTGTGTTATTGGAAAAAATTACGAATGGCACCATCAATTTCCCGGCACCTAGCCCACTTCCAGCAAGTAATTATGATATCCCCTATGTATTTTTGGGCGATGGAGCGTACCCTTTAAGTACAAATTTAATGAAACCTTTTCCTGGTCACCATGCAATTGGTACTCCAGAAAGGTTGTTTAATCAAGAACTTTCTCGCTCCCAAGTAGTCGTCGAAAATACTTTCGGCATAATGGCCTTACTGGCCATTATGCCGAAAGTATTTTTAAAAAAAGTTTAAAGTTTTTAAGTTTAGAGTTTTTAAAAAACCTATGCAATTGTGTGATGTTAAAGCTTCTATCATTACAATGACATGCGTTTTATTGCATAATTTCTTAAGAAAAACTTCAACGTCTAGGAAACAGTACAATCCTCCAGGTACCATTGATCCATACATGAATGGTCAACTCGTCTCTCCAGGTTCTTGGAGACAGAATAATGGTAGCGTATTCACATCGCTACAATCAACACCTCGAAGAGCTACAAATAACGCTACCCAAATAAGAGAATGCTTCAGGTGACTTTTTTTAATAATTCTGCTAATTAGAAGTTTTCGTTTTACTTCAGACAGCCTAGTGCGATAATTGTGCTTCCCAATAATTGTCACTATTTCCAATCCATACTAATTGCACTAAGCACTCTGAATACTTTTATAACTTATAGGTAAGTACTTATAACTATTTCAAATAAACAATTTAGGTACGAATTGTATTGAGATTAATAAATAATATTTACCTATTGTAAAGTTTGTTTTACTTACATCGACTTTGTCCGCCGTAACAAGTACCGACTTGCACTCATACACCAGTGTTGGGAAATATACAATAATTATTAGATTCTTACAATAATTTGTTACACGAAACTAAATTATACCATAAAACATAGCTTTCTCATTATTGTACGCTTTTATACAATATTTTCCTATTTTTACACAATATAAGTTCAATACTAGACACACGCAACTTTAAAATGTATGAACGAACGCATCACGTAATTATACCAAATAATGTAGTTATCGCTTCTAGAAGCGAAAAACGTCTTGTATAAGATTGTATATCATTTTAACCCACGAAACAATAGGCAAATCAAATTGTCTCCAATGTCCTGTATGCAACAACTTCTCAGCAGTCAAATCCGTCTACATCTACACCTCGAGTTTTCGAATTCGAAGAAGAAGACGACTTCAAATTTTCCATTCCTGTTTAGTTCATATTGTATAATTCCGTGCCCTAAGTTTTATTATTTTAATTAAAAAAAACATTTAATAACATATTTTTAGTTTATGCAAATATAAAGAAATAGCAAAAACCTATTAAATTTGGATTTAGACAGCTTAAATAAATAAATAAAAATTTTGCAAAAAAATTACAATAATTCTACCCAAAATACAATATTTTCTAGCTTGGCAACACCATAATTTCGCACCAACTATTTCCCAAACCTGTCATACACGTCGATCATAAAGGCCGCTAAAGCGTCATAAAAGACCCATATAGGTTTAAACACCTCGTCTTCTCCGGCACCAGATTTGAGAGAGGCGACAACTTTTTTATGATTCAGCCGGAAAGCTGCTAACAAGGTTTCCTTTTTCCTTTTAATTTCGGAAACTGGTACTAACATTTTCTCAGCAATACGAGCCCATGCATCATTCATTTGTAAAAAAACATAATGGATGACTTAAAATTAACAGAATGACACAAATTAGCTATTATAAACCTCATAATAACGATAAATAAATAACTAAGTACCTACCTTATTTTTATCTTTGTGATATTTATGTTTAGGATTCCATATTACTGGTTGGTTCTGATATAGTTCTATAAACTTGAATATCTCTTCATTTCTCACATTAGTCATTGTTTCGCACTCGCACTCACTTTTATTTAAAAACTTAAAAACGACGCGACGTACGCACTGCTCGCTGTCTTCCGGTGAATGAATGATCGTCGATCGTGTGGGCACGCGCACGCAATTACAAGCGATTCCCTTTGATGTGTGCCCGAAAAACCGACAAGGCATCGATCGCCACGATCACGACGACGATCATCGACGATTGAGGACGATGATGGGCAACTATAGGCGATTAGCCCCTCTACACGATCGTGCTCGCGTGTAATCGCCCATCATGGCCGATCGTGAAGAGGAGCCATCAAGTTGACTGTGTGTTTGCTTGTCACCCTTATTGTATAAAATAATTATACGTATTTTATATCATCTTTGATCTCCCTCCACAATTAACAAGGGTATTATTGTCATAATTAAGCCATAAAAATTGTGAATTAATTAACGAAAAGAAAAACCTTAAAATTTATCGCAACTTAATACTTTTAAAAATATGGTGGACTTATTAGAAAACTTGGAGATTCATTAACCTTAAATTTGTAATAGACGTTATGTTTAGGTTTTCTTATTTTTCTCAATATAAAAATAGTATGTTTGAAGTTCTTAAACACACTTTGGCTCAGCGCGGTGTTATTTTCCTTCGACGTCAAGCACGTGGTAGGTATATGTTCCCTTAAAATTACAATTTCACTGGTGTCAGGCGGGAACCAAAACTTGAATTGTTCGCTATGAAGCTTGAGGCGATTGAATATCACCAGAGCTAGATTAGAAGAGCCTAATTGCTATTACAATTATGCAATAATTTTAAAAAAAATAATACACAACATATAAAACTATTTTTTTTTTTGTAATTGCAGCATTTCAAATATTAACATGCATGCAAATAAACAGTCGTTATTCTTATTTGCATGGAAATTCTGTTAGCTCACTCTCTACGAATTCAGCAAGTCCATCTCGGTCCATCGGGAGTTTGCTCTTAAATCAACAAGGAATACGACGTTGAATATTTTCATTATTAGCTCGTCTGCTAATTCCAAATGTTGAAATTGTGTTGCCTTGTGGGAATAATTTTCTTTAATAAATTTACCCATGTAGTTGCATGTGACAATAACGTTTCATTCATATTCATCATTCATCATCATTACAGCCCTTCACAAGTCCACTGCTGAACATAGATCTCCCCCAAGAAAATCCACAAAGCACGGTCCTGAGCCACCTGCACCCATCTACTTCCTGCATGTCTTACCAGGTCGTCGCTCCATCTTGTGGGGGTTTGTCCTACACTAGACCCACCAATACGAGGCTGCCACTCGAGAACCTTTTTTTCCCATCAGTTGTCGGTTCTTCGAGCTATATGACCAGCTCATTGCTACTTCAGCTTACTAATCCGTTGGACTATGACGGCCGCTCTGGTTCTACCGTGGATATCCTCATTTCTAAGTTTATCACGGAGAGAAACCTCGAGCTTAGCCCAGTCTATAGCTCGATGAGCGACCTTGAGTGTCCTCATACGGCCAGCAGTGAAGGATCACGTCTCAGATCCATAAGTTATCACTGGCAACACGCACTGGTTGTACAATCTAATTTTCAGGTTTTGAGGTATACCTGAAGAGAAGATGTGTCGTAACGCCCCAGCCCCGAACGCTGGCCAGCCGAGTTGAATCCGTCGATTGACCTCTCGGTCGAAGTTAGACCTACCTAGTCGGACTATTTATCCCAGGTAAACGTACTTGTCAACAACTTTGAGCTTCGTGCTCCCATCTTTGTTTTGTCCATTTTCATTTTAAGACCTATCCGTTGGGAAACACTATTAAGGTCATTGAGCACAATGCTTAGGTCTTCCAGCGATTCTGCCATAAGGACTATATCATCGGCTAATCGGAGGCGAGTTATGTTCTAGCCATTGATGTTAATACCGTATCCTTTCCAGTTCAGTAGCTTGAATACGTCTTCCATTACAGCGGTGAAGAGTTTTGGGGATATAACGTCACCCTGTCATACACCTCTATGCAGTTGGATAGATTTCATACATACATGTTATGTTGTTATAATTATTCCAATACACATGATCTCCTTCTTGTGTTTCTGCTTATAACAATTCAATGCTGTACATGGACCATTCTTGTCAAAGGAAGGTAGGCGGATGACGACCGCAGTGCTAGACATCTCGCACATTTGACTGCTCACTTCCGACGTATTACTACATTATCTATGCTCTGAACATCGCCGGTCTGAGTATTTTACGACGTTCTTCAGAATAAGGATGAAAGTGTTTGTTGTGGCCAGTAGACATTTATCATTGATTAAGAATAAAAATGCGTTGTCACCCCTGAGGACTAAGATAGAGTGCCGCAATTTCAGTAAAAACGCTTTCTGGTCCTCTACACTCACCATACGGAACAGCAGCATCTAGCATTTCTAGTATTCTGTGAGAGCGTAATCCTACTCCGGTCAAGCCGACCCATTCGTGATATAACCATAATATAGCTACAGAAGATCTACTGATATATCGTTATTTAGAGTTAAGATCGTGGAAGACCATTCATATTATTGATTTAACGTTTTTTTTTTTTTTCAAAAAAACTTTTCGGATCTTTCGGATAAAATGTAGTCATGACTGGCTTTGCTCTCTATTTTCTAAAAAAAGTTTGTAAATTTTCATTACAATAGGCTTAGCTACTCCGAAGATTGACAGACAGGCGTCTGTCCGGACTGGTAACAGTTTAAGAGCCAGTGAGCGGCAGACTCACGGTTATTCAATAAGCTCCACGTTTTTTTTTTCAATTAATCCCTTATACCTGAGGTACATGAAATGGGGACTCTGGTTTGACTGACGTTCAATATAGAGACGCTTAGGTGTTAAAGGTGTAAAAAAATCACCAAAAAAACATGATAGCAGTAAGCCTGCCACTTTGACATCCTGAAATATTCCATAAAAGTTACCGAAAAATAACATAGCTATACCATCATCATATCATATAAATAACATAGCTTGAGAAGTACATTTTTTATTACTAATTTACGTTATTTTAATAATATTCCGCTCGGGATTTGACGGGTGCATGCGACTGCATGGAATTTTTATGGGGATTGACGGGTTAAGCCATAAGTCTGAATAGCATGCAAATTATCCTCTTGGCTTAATACAAACTAGATATTTCAAAATTAGAGACAGACACAGAATATATACATATTATATATTATAGTATTATCCTAGTAATGGTGGATAATCTGGTACGTGCGTATTTGGGCGGGGGGAGGTGGCCTCGGTTTCATTAAAAAAATTCTATCCCGAACGGTTCGCGCTCTAAGCCATGTTTTATGAATTTCCGAAAATTCGTACTTCTGCTCACATTTGTGGACATCACGACCGCAGTTTAATGCCTAGATCGGATTTTTTTTCTTTTAATGTATTACCTAATAATGATGTTTCTAAATTACCCTTAAAAGTTTTTAACTTCTATGGGTGAAATTTTACTAGACACCACTAAACATAAGTTTTAATTTTTTACTATATTTAACTGCTAAGTTTAAGCACCTGTGAAAAAAAACATATGGGATCTGTATGGCCAACCATTTAAAAAGCTTGCCTACATCATGGGGATTCTAAAACAGTATAATAGCTTAGAATTCGTCCAAACTAGGCGAGCAGGTAGTAAAGTAAAATTTTCAAGG